CCAATATAGTGTGTCCTTTTTCTTTCTTCATTTGAAGCTATGAGTTGCTTCTTCCCCAAAGCAGCAGAACTGGCTAGAAGGACCTATGGCTGCTTCCTGCTTGGAAAGAACCCCATCCTGGGCATTTTGGGGTGGGTGCTTTGAAGATCTCAGGACATGCTTTTAGAATGAGCCATAGATTAGAGGTGTTGGGGTCTATTTAGCCCACCATTGTCTGGCTCCAGTTACCAAAGCTACACCTCAATATTGTAATTTGTGGCCAGAGATTTATAGCAATAGAGTGGACAGTTTTCTGGATTTGTTCTCCAAGCATATGGTCAAGTTCAAAAAATATTTGCTAATAATAAATATTTGCTAAGCCAACTGACAACAAAGTCCTTCTCCTCATGCAACCTATTTTCTAGTAGGGGACATCAACAATAGTCAACAAATAAATAAACAGTCAACAAATAAATATTTACTCTAGTGTCATATGCTGATGAAAGACCTGGACAATGGTGGGCTGTTTCACAAGAAGGATATAAAAGTTCTCTGTAGAAGTGATATAGAGCAGAGACCTACATCAAATAAGGCAGGGAGCCATATAAGTATCTGAGGGAAGGATTTTCCCAAGAAATGGAAGAGTGAATACAAAGGCTGAGAGGGAAGAACAAGGTCAACAAACTCAACAGCCAGTGCCATCAGAGCAAGAGATGGAGGCAGGAGATGAAGTAGGGGAGGTGGGGGGGGGGGTCAGAGGCTGAGGGCTGTTTTAATCATCTTTGTGTCCCCCAGGCTTATCAGAGGCTTTCCCTGCAGCCCTGCCTTCAATAAAGTAGTTGAATCTGATTCTCAGTTAAGTATCTGGATGTGATCAACAATGGCTTGAAATAGTTAATGCAGCTTCCCAAATTGCTTATCTAAATTGCCATAGAGGAAGAGAAACCAGCACCTCAAGAGACTGAAGTGGTTTGTCTCAGAGCTTTCACCCATTCTCCTTATCCTCCAACCATCTCTGAAGACAGGAAAGATTTATTGTCCCCATTACAGAAGGAAGGAGCTGATGCGCACCCCAGTCATAGGGCTTGATGGAATGAAGGAGTACATGCCCCTACCTCAGCCTCTGGGCTCTCATACATTCTTCCTCTGGATAATCTCATCCTACTCAAGCCCAGAAAGCCTGCCTATTTTTCAATTATAATTATTTTATAACTCTAAAACCCCATGGTTATTTGCACATGTTTTAAATGTCAGCTGAATCATGTAGCCCATACCTAGGTGACTTAGGATATTTTTTAGAAGATAGAGAAATTAATCTTCCATCAATCTTGAATTTTTTGTTTAGTAAAAAATCAAAACCAGATGAATTTTAACATCTATTAGCCAAATAGAAATATGATTTAGTTCTAAATAAGCACTAGATTCTATCAAATCTATTATTTTTTCAAAATCAGGGTGGAGGAGGTAGGGGGAATGTTCATTAACTCATTCCCCAGCCATTCTACTGATGAATAATCATTACAAAAGCCTTGATGATTTGGGGACACATCTGAATCCCTGGAATTTTCCATTTTTGTTCATAGCTTTACCTTCTGAAGCCACTCCAAGCCATCTATCCCTTTTTTCTCACCCTGACCCAGCCCTTCAGATATGAAGGCGACTGGTGCCACATGTCCCTGTTGTCCTCTGCTCATGAACAAGCATCCTCTGGAAAACCAGATGCCTGGTTTCCAGACTCCTCAGCTTCCAGCAAGCTGCTCTGCTGTGGTTCATCAACAAGTAGTTCCATTAAACACAGTGCCAGGGATTAAAAATGATTCCCCATGTGCTGTCTATGTGCTATTTAAGTTGTTTGCACTGTTTCTTCCTCATTAGGTAGTGTCTTTTCTTTTGCTCTCAGGCTCTTTGCTCTCCATGGTCCCTTGCTATTTGTGGATAACATCTAATGATTTCCCTGCTCCTTTCCCAAAAATGTAAACAGGCTCAGTGTTGGGTTGCTAATCTTCTTTCTCATGCCTCATATCACCTTCATTCTCCATCTTGAGGCTTTCTTTTTGGGCATGTGTTTGTCTTTAAGTGTGTGGCATTTGCTACAGTGATCAATTATCCTGGATAATTGCTCCTCATTTGAGAATCACTATTCTTTCTCATTAAAGACCAGACAAGACCACGTCCTCTCATTGACCAGGTGCACCAGATCTCTTATTTAGCCCCAATTGGCATTTGGCAGCTTAGTACTGTCAAAGGTTTGAAAAAATAAGAACAAAAACGCAAGTAAAAACCAAGGAATCGCTGAAGTTAGTGAAGGTTTATTGAACATACACCAAGAGCCTTTTGCAAGTCAGGAGCACTCAAACCAAAACACAGCACAAGGCTCTGAGAATACTGTCATAAAGCACTTTATATTGCGTGGAGGCAGTAACTGTTTATTTTTCACAGTGATTGGTAACAATATCAGAATTTTCTTAAATGAAAGAGACCTGGTTAATGGTTACTCCTATCAGTTTTGGGGGAAGAATTTAAGTTTTGGTTCTGATATTCAGAGGCATAAGCAAGATGTGACCCAGGTCGTTAGCTTCATTTGTCATGTAAAATAAGCTAAATTAAGCTTTGCTTGTATGACAAAACTGGTTTTTGTCTGGCTCAGGAAATTTTCAAGTCGGGTCTCCGTGTGTGTTTGATTTTAACAGTGCTTAGGAGCGCATTCACCAAGGGGCCTAATTTGAGAAGCTTGTGCTGCTTGCTCAGTGAGCAACTGGCTCCTCTGTTCTGTGCCCTCCCTGCAGTCACAGCCTGCTGTTTTCTCCTGAGCTCCTTCTTCAGGGGAACCACTGAGCACGCAGTGGCTTTTTTTGTTGTTGTTGTGGGGGGAGTCATGCAGCTTTAACACCCAGTTAAGCTTCCCACCCTGGTTCCCAGGTATTTTGGTAACAGTTGTCTACTTTGTCTTTCTTAGGTTGTAAAGTGAGGTCCATGGCTCCTCCTCATTACTTCTTGGCTACATTGGGCCTTAGAAACCTCTCTATTCAGGGCCTCATGTGTTGGTTTACATTATTTGCTACAGTTATAAATGCTATTTCTTCTTGCTTCTCAGACATGCCCCCTAAAAATACACGTTAGTAGTTCCTTTGCTGCAGACTTAAGAATTCAGATGAGTCAAAAGTGGGCATTCAGGGAGTGTACACTCTGGGACGCTAACTTAAAATTCCAGTCAGCAGTCCTTTGGAGATGTAATTGAGGAAGCAGCCCCCCTTTTGGACAGCTTAATGATCTGTAGTTAATAGTAAGGGGCTGCTGGGCAGATGCCATACAGCTGGGCTTACGTTAGCCTCTCTCAGCTCTCCAAATTGCTCCATGATTATAGCCATTGAGACTCTCAATCCTTCCCCCATCAGTAACCAAAAGCACAAACAAAGATCTGGCGGTGGCTGGACAGTGTGGCCTCTCTGCACACCGTCCTGCCCCAGCCAGTGACTGATGTCTTTTCCTTGGGCCTGCCTCAGGCTGAGGAGTTGCCGGCACCAGAACTAGCTCCCCAATAAGTCTGGGATGAAGAGTCCTGGATTTAAGGCCAACTTCTTCTCTTGCTTGAGTGCACACGATTTCACTAAATTTGACAGAGACTGAATGTAATCTTTTGGTAGAAAAATAGAAGCCTGGAAGCGGTACAGTACATAGTTCCCAGAGGCAGTTGGCTTGCTTTTATGCCTTATACATAAAATTGACTTGGATTACTGTGTATCGGGGTAGCAGGTCCACTTACAAGTTCCAGGGTTTTGTTATCTTCATTCAGAAACTTAAGTAAATTCAACAACCACCACCACAAAACAACCCCTTCAAAAATGGCCAAAGGACTCATGTAGACATCTCTTTAAAGATGATATACAAAGAGCTGATAAGCACATAAGGAGATACTCAACATAACTAATCATTAGAGAAATACAAATTGAAACCATAATAAGGTATCACTCCACAACCATTGGAATGACTAATATCAGGAAAAAAAAAACAGAAAATAACTATTGACAAGGTTGTGGAGAAATTGGAACCACTGTGCACTGCTGGTGGGGACATAAAATGATGCAGCTGCTATGGAAAATAGTGCTGCAATTCAGAATTACCATATGACCTAGCAACTCCATTTCTGGGTATACACCCAAAAGAATTGAAAGCAGGGCTCAAAGAGATATTTGTCCATAGGACCATCACCACCCGTGGCCAAAAAGGTAGAAGCAACCCAAGTATCCATTGATGGGTGGATGGAAATGTAGAGTTGACCTACAATGAATAGGATTCAGCATTAAAAAGGAAAGGAATTCTGACACATGCTACAACATGGCTGAACTCAGGGACACTGTGCTGAGTGAAATAAGCCAGTCATGAAAGAACAAATACCATATGGTTCCACTTACATGAGGCATCTAACATAGTAAAGTCCATAGAGACAGAAGGTAGGATGGCAGTTGCCAGGACCGAGGGAGGGAAGAATGAGGAGTTATTGTTCAGTGGGTACAGAAATTCCCTTTTGTGAGACAAAAAGAGTTCCAGAGGTGGATGGTTGTGATGGTTGCACAGCTAAGTTAATGTACTTAAGGCCACCAAACTGGACACTTAAAGATAGTTATGGTGGGGACATCTGGGTGGCTCAGTGGTTGAGCATCTGCCTTTAGCTCAGGTCATGATCCCGGGGTCCTGGGATCGAGTCCTGCATCGGGCTCTCTGCCAGGGAGGCTGTTTTTCCCTCTGCCTATCTCTGCCTCTCTCTCTGTGTCTCTCATGAATAGATCAATAAACTCTTTAATTTTTTTTAAATGGTGATGGTGGTAAATCCTAAGTTATGTACATTTTACCACAGTTAAAAAAAAAAACAAACCAACCCAAATCTCAACTGAAGGATGCCTTCTCTCTGCAATCCAGGCTTTTGAGGGAGATTAGAAATGAAAGGAGGGAAAAACACACAGCTGAGGGATTGGATCTTGAATTTATGTGCAACTAATTACAAATATGCTTTTTTTTTTTAGAGTCACTTTTCTCTCAAGAAGGGAGCTGCAGCTTTGGGGATTGGAACAGACAGCGTGATTCTGATTAAATGTGATGAGAGGTGAGTGTGCATCTGCAGTCCTCATTGGTTAGCATTTTTCAACTTCCACACGTCTTAGATTTAGTTCCAAAACAGGCACTGACTACGGGGTGGCAAAACCACCTCCACCCCAGCTTGCCACTTGCTGTTTCTTTCTCACATGGGCTCTTGCTTGGAGCCCTGGGACGTGGTTCCTCAAAGCCATGGAGCCTGATGGCTCCTGACTAAATTGGAACCTTTGTTATATCAAAATATTTTACACCAAGAAAGTGCCAAGGGACATTCATCACCTGGGCACTTAAGCAACAACCAGTACTGTGAGCACTGATTTATGGAGGAGTCATCATCCTAGGCACTGTGGATTGGATTGTGTGAACTTGATGGACTGATTCCAGGATAGGGTGGGAGGTGGGGGACAGTTTAGTGAGCAGGAAGTAAATAATGCTCCCAGCAACTCATCCACTTTGTGCTGCAACCAAAGAGCTCTCTTAGGGAGAGAGCTTAATAGACACAAACCTCATAGGTGCTCTGGGAATGGGTGTAGGATTAAAAAGTATTTCCAGGGGGCACCTGGGCAGCTCAGTGGTTGAGCATCTGCCTGGGCTCAGGTCGTGATCTCGAGGTCCCGGGATCAAGTCCCGCATCGGGCTCTCTGCAGGGACCCTGCTTCTCCTTTGTCTGTGTCTCTGCCTCTCGCTCTATCTGTGTCTCTCATGAATAAATAAATGAAATCTTTTTAAAAAAAAAGTATTTTCAGCATATCTATGTAAATTTTCACAAGCTGATAGGTCTAGAATCTACAAAAACTTAATCTCCAAAGAATCGAGTCAGAAATTTTACTAAATTAAAAGGAAGCTACTCAATTAACCATTTATTTTTTCATATGCATTCATTAGACAGATATTTATGATTGCCCACCATATCATGAGGCTCCAGAAAAGCATAAGGCATAATCCTGGTTCCCTGACAGTATCTGATCCAAGGGAGATGGGGGTAGCACCAGAAGGAGACAGTTATATTGTTGAATCGTGGGGCACAGAGCACATACTCTGTACGTTGGTAAAGCTTGGAAGGTTCACACAGCAAGCTTGTGCTTTTGAAGGATTTGCAAAGTTAGGGATGAACTGAATGAATGGAGCGGGCAGCAAGGCTATTCCAGAGGACTGAACACCGTAAACAGAGCCCCAGAAGTAGGAATGAGCTTGTGGAGCTCTAGGAAAGGAACCTGAGCAGACGTGTCCGGGAGGAACAGCCTTGGCAAACCTGGTGGGCCACATGGGATTTTGAAAGTGCAACAAAACGAACTGATTAATGACTCTGGGAGGGAAAATTTTAAGTTCTTCCTACTTTCTTGTCCACGCCTTTACATTCTGGCCTAATCTTATCTGATTGTTTGCAATGAACATGTGTTACTTTAACAATTGGAAAGACTGATGTTTTCTTTTTCTTTGTGTGTGTATGAGGAAATGCTAAAGTTAGCATTTGAACTCGATGGATCAGTAATCAAGGTAACCTGAAAACATTTTTATCCGAGAAGGGCATGACAGAAACCATCCTTCAGGAAGCAAGGCTGAGGAGAGACCTGGTTCCGTGAGGCTGGGCATGAGGGTCTGGCAATAAGATGAGTGGGAAATTATATGTATGTATGTATGTATGTATACATATATATGTATTTTTATATATGTATATAATATATATTATATATATGTATACATATACACACACACACACATATATATGTATTTTTTAAAAGATTTTATTTATTTATTCATGAGAGGCACAGTGAGAGAGGCAGAAACATAGGCAGAGGGAGAAGCAGGCTCCCTGCAGGGAGCCTGATGTCACCCTCGATCCCAGGACCCCAGGATCACGCCTTGAGCCAAAGGCAGACGTTCAACTGCTGAGCCATCCAGGTGTCCCAGAACTGCTTATATTTTTAAGACTACCAGTACTATCAGATATTTAAGAACTGAGATTTGAGAAGAAAACTGGCACAGCCACAAAAATGCTAACTGGGAATAAAGGTTTAGATGACTTTAATATATTTCTTAATCTGTAGCCAACTTTTATAAGGAGCCTAGAATTCAGGGAAAGATCGTCTAGACGGGCCCTGTTACCTGACCCACTCAGTCTTCTAGTCTAGCCTGGTTGGCAGGTGTTCTTGACTTGAACCGCAGTGGGCTGAGGGATGACCTGGGAGAACAGAGAGTACTCTTCATACCACTGCTCAAGGCATGGATATTGCTGCTTCTACTCCAGTGAGAATCAGGTTATTTCATTAAGTGGTCTTGAAATGAACCCACCAAACCAGCCAGCGAGGCATTCCTGGGAGCCAGAGGCTGGGCTGAGGACTACTGAGTGTCTGAGGGCAGGATCATACTCCAAAGAGAACAGGGAGCACAGGCAGGCTGCCAGGAGCAGACACCAGAAGATGTCTGTCATTCACCAACAGCAGAGAAAGGAGTGGAAAACAAAGAATGCTGGGAAACCAGTAAAGTCTAGAATCAGAGACTTAGCCATGTCACCTCAAATCTTCAGATCAAAGAATTTTATGTCAACAATTTTAGAAGCCATTAGAAAAACTTAAGATACAATGTTAAAAATTATTGTTTTTTTCTTTCAGAAAATATCTCACTATCCCTTATAATGCCCCCACATACACCCATTGGGAGAGTAGAGAGGGAGGGGACTACAGGGCAGCTAGGCAAGGGGGTCTTTTTCTCTTTCTGCTCATGAGCCTTGTGGAATGGGGAAGAGAGTAGAGAGTAATACGGAGGAGAAGGAAAGAAAAAAATGTATAAGAAATAAAAGGTGGGAGAAAAAAGGCCCCGGAGATTAAAAAAAAAAAAAATTGGAGTTAAAGTGTGAAGTGAAGAAAGGAAGTACAGTTGACCCTTGAAAACATGGGGGTCAGGAGCACTGACCTCTCTACCCTATGCAGTTGAAAATTCACATATAACCTTTGACTCCTCCTGAAACTAAACTACTAAGAGCCTACTGTTGACCAGAAGCCTTACTGATAACATAGTCAATTAATACATATTTTGTATGTTTTATATATATTACATACTATAGTCTTTCAATGAAATCATTTGTTTTTTAGAGAAAACAAAATGTTAACAAAATCATAAGGAAAATACATTTATAGTACTGTACTGTATTTATCAAAAAATACCCACAGACAAAAAAAATATCCGTGTGTAGGGGCACCCAGCTGGCTCAGTTGGTGGAACGTGCAACTCTTGATGTTGAGGTTATGAATTTGAGCCCCACAATGGGTGTAGAAATTAGACAAAACTTTTAAAATCTTAAAAAAAATAATATCCACATGTAAATGGACCCACATATTTCAAGGTCAGCAAGAACAGGGAAAGGTGAGTGGAACAGGAAGCACATGAGACCTTTAAAGAGGAATAAGTGGTGTTTTTACCATCTGAAAAGAAATCTATGCTTAGTTAAAAAAAATACAAAACAACGGGAAAACCATCATTCCACCACCCAAACAGCATCACTAACACCGTATTGTTAGTGATCTCTTTTTCCAAGCATAAAAGTTTGGGGTTTTTTCTTTTCCTGTTTTAATTTACATATTTGTGATGGTGTTTCTTTTTCTAACTAGACATGATAAGTATTTTTTTCATGTTACTGCAAACATACCTAACTACATAACATGAAAAAGCATGTACTTTTGAAGGGTAGGTTCTGGAGCTGGACTGTTTGAGTCCCTGTCTTCCCAGTCTGGTCTCAGCTCTAGCTTGGGTAAATCCTTCTCTGCGCCTCAATTTTCTTATCCAAAAAAAGTAAAAAGTAAGAACCCTGCTTCATAGACTTGTTACGAAGATTAAATGTGTTAACAAAAGGTAAAATACTAAAAATGATATGTAGTGGTAGAAAACAAACACAAAATATTACTCTCCTCCTGTTCATTTCCCTGTTTCTGGTACTGCTGTTGTAAATAACCCTTCTATCCTTCATTGAACATTTGTATGTGCCCAGGCTTCTCCATTTATCATTATTTCTCAGTATAATTGCTAATTTAAATTATATGAATATTCTTTTTTAAAATATTTTATTCATTTATTCCTGAGAGACACAGAGAGAGAAAGAGGCAGAGACAGACAGAGGGAGAAGCAGGCTCCATGCAGGGAGCCTGATGTGGGACTTGATCTCAGGACTTCAGGATTACGCCCTGGGCCAAAGGCAGGTGCTAAACTACTGAGCCACCCAGGGATCCCTTATATGAATATTCTTTTTTTTAAATTTTTATTCATTTATGATAGTCACAGAGAGAGAGAGAGGCTCAGAGACATAGGCAGAGGGAGAAGCAGGCTCCATGCACCGGGAGCCCGATGTGGGATTCGATCCTGGGTCTCCAGGATCGCGCCCTGGGCCAAAGGCAGGCGCCAAACCGCTGCGCCACCCAGGGATCCCTTATATGAATATTCTTAAGGAAAGTGATACCTCAGGCCATATTGCCTTTCGAAAGGTTTTGCCAATTTGTTCTCCTAGCAGTATCGTTTGAGAGCTTGTTGGTGGGCGGTTGGGAATTAAAGCTGTGTTGGTAGCTACATGTAGTCTTTAATTCTAAATTGATAATTCACATCATCTCTATAAAACGTGTTTAAGATTGAGAGGCCTAATGGAATTAAGTGTTTGGAATTGGGAACCAAAGAGCAGACTTTGGACAGTCACCTGTAGCCATCATTCCAGTCAGAGTCATTTAAAACATGCTTGGCAGCCATTTTTTTTTTTATTAACCACGTCCTGTGAAAGTCAGATATGTGGTTCAGAAAAGCACTTGAGGCTGACAAAGTGCATACCTAGTGTGCTTTGCAAAGTTCATCCAGGTTTTACAAAGCACGAACCTGGACCTGTTCTTGAAGATTTGAAGACAAGATTTGTTCTTGAAGGTTTGAAGACACATTTCTTAGTTACTCTTTCTGACTCTGCACATTAGTTTGTCGGTGGCGGGGCGAGAGGTTTTATCTTGTTCTGCAGACAATTGACTTAGTAGGAAGCTC